CTCTGTAGTACAGTGGTTAGTGCACAGGCAGTCCCCGGGTTACGTACAAGATAGGGACTGTAGGTTTGTTCTTAAGTTGAATCTGTATGTAAGTCGGAACTGGCGTCAGCCGCTGCTGAAACTGATCAGTTTCAACCGCAGCTGAATCTGGATGCCAGGGTCTGAGCAAGAGCTCAGTATTAACAAAGTATTAATTAAAAGTACTAACTCTTTTTACCTATTCTTAAATGGCTTGGAAAATACCAGTGTGGAGAATTAATGGAAAATATGGTACTGGATGTTTTAAGGTGTGCATGTGCCACAAGATGAGGTTAATTTAGAGCCTCTCTAGCACAAAACACTAGTGTCTAAATCTAGTATCCTGTCATATACATCAGGACATGCGCCATCCCAACCGTTCTGGCACTGAGCACTAATTTTGCAGAGATTGCAGCCATCCACAAAATAAAGGGCAGGCTCCAGACAGCAGAAGCACAATACTGACCCCATGCTGGAGTAATTGCACAGTCCAAATGATGACAATAGGAAGCCACCTTGCACAATACAAGGATGACGAAGAGCCGCGCCCTTTCTTATGGTCTTCCTCTCTGTCCATCAAAACAAAAAAGGCTGCAAATCACATCAGTCTCTCTGCATGCGACATTCAGGAGAGATTGAAACACAATGGAATTCCCTATAAACCTGAGCTTTTATACAATTATTCCTTCAATTGCTAGGTTTATATTAGTGTGCATGATCCCGAAGAGGCAGCACACATCCATGTGTCACTGCACATTTTCTTTGGGCTCAATCTAAAAACAAGGCAAACTCAAATCTCATTTGTGTCACAGTCTCTAGGAAGATAGTAGACATGTACTAGGATTTAGGAAGACAACATTTATCCTTGTGAATCTCTCAATACTATAAAAGCCCATTTTGTCTGTTACTTGTTTGAAAGAAACTGCATTACCACAAACTGTGAATAGGTAAAAAGTGTTGTACTCTTCCTGTGCTTTTTTATTAGAGTCAAGGGAAACTTTCATAAAAAAAAAAAAAAAAAAAAGAAAAGAGGCAACATTTGTCACATGTCACATATTCCACATCTCGGCGTCCCGCCGCTCCCTTCCTCCAGGGCGAGAAAAGCCCCATTCGTAACTGTGGATCTGACATAAGTCGGATCCGCGTAACTTGGGGCCTGCCTGTACTTGCATAAGCAATAAGTGATCACTGTTCAAACCCCTTCCTTTCTTCAGGCAGAGGAATGAATTAAACTTAACTAAAGCAAGGTGGATGTTCTGACTGGCTCTCAAACCCACCTGACTCCTGAGGCTTGAGAGCCTGCACTCCAGAGCTAGAACACATGGACTGCTATTTTAGCATGCTAACTTGAGCCTCACTAGTGCAAATCTGTTTACGCAGGGAGAAGAGCTTGCTCCCAACTACAGTTGACTTCCAATAATCCGGAACCTATGGGACCTAGGTGGTGCCGGATTATCAGATATGCTGGACTATCAGGAGATACTATAAACTGGTTATATATATACTGTATACATTATATCCTGTATACAAAGTGTTCTTAACCCTTTTTATTGTACATACTGTATACAGTATACTGTAATGTTTTAGTTTTGTTAAGCCTTTTTTACCCTTTTTGCTCAGTTCAGCTGCTGCTGCTGTTACCTTGTGACTCATTTTTTGCCGAAGCTCACTCACTAGGCTCTTGCCATTTTGACGCCGGACTATCAGGAGTGCCAGACTATTGGATGCCGGACTATTGGAGTTTTACTGTAACGTGTAGACATATCCCCTATATCCTGGGTGAGTGTAGTAACCACTGAGCTAAAAGGTTATAAAATGGCCTCTTCCTCACTCATCTGCCCAAATGGCAAGAGGGATGAGGAAAGGCCTAGTTTGTGAATTTCAGTGGGCCTTGAGTGCTGGGTGCCTTTTCTGTCCTGTAGTCACCAAAGGTGCTCAGAGGGAGTTAATACAAATGTGATCTGTGTTAACTACTGATGGGAGTTTTGCATGCAATATTTGGTGGGCTTATATGGGACAGAGACTCAGAGAGTGGCTGGATGCTCTAAGTGCAACCCTGCAGATTATTGACACCTCCCCACCCCCACTCCCTAGGTTCTGAGGGGAGCTGATGTTCTCGAAGGGACATCTACTCTCCTACTTTGGCAGTGAGAGCTCTAGCTATGGAGGGGCCGTTCTGGTCCACTACTAAGTTCTAAGTAGTTGTCAATTGCAGTAAGAATATTTGGGGGCGGTTTAATGCATTACTAATGTAAAATATTTTTTTCATAACATCTGGACTTTTTACAACATACCATCAGATAAATACAAATGCTCACACAATATTCTTTAAAGATACACAAGGAGCAAATATGCACATAACTTCCATTGCTACTCCTGAATTGATAACCATTCCCATGCTAGCTGTGGAACCATATAAAGCAGTTTAAGAGTGAGTTAGCAGGAAGTGATCTATTTTTTTTCTGGTTCAGATAATTTATACTTCATTTTTTTTTTGCTGCCACATACCAATCACTCAGGTATAATGTGAGAGATTTTATGAATAGCTTTCTTAATGGGCATCTATGAATACTATCTCTGATATTAATGTGCATTTCAAAGGAAGATAATGGATGGCTTTTACTATAAAAGTCAAATATACAGAATTTCAAATATTTCAAGAGCACAGATACAGACAGAATCATCAAAATACAAAACTCTAACAATCCCTAAATTTAAGTAATTAAACTGCATGTTTCAGTTACTGAATGAGCAGTGGAAGATACGAGAATCCTTACTGCCACCCTGCACAACTGCATACTTCAACCATGCACTGTCAAGTTTAAAATGGTGAGACTTGATGAACCTTCAGCTCAATAAACAACACTAGCATCAAGTGGTGTTTTCTGCATTTAATAAAAGTTAAATATTTTGCTTCAAGAACAATGTAAACATATTATATCTATAACTCTCACAGAAGTGGAAGGTGACCTTGAGAAGTCATCAAGCCCAATCTGCTGCCCTCTTGGCAGGACCATGTACCATTCCTGACAGATTTGCCCCAGATCCCTAAATGGCCCCCTCAAGGATTGAACACACAACCCCTGGGTTTAGCAGGCCCGTGCTCAAACCACTGAGCTATAAAGCAGTAAAAGCAATACACAACATGTTTTTATATGTGAAACATTAAACAGTAATATCCATATAGATATAGGAACAAGAGTGAAGTTTATTGTTGTGTCATTTCTAATGGGGAAAACCATGAATGTAGTTACATTAGGTAATGTACAGCTATTCTTATGATTAAAAAAGATTATAATTTTCTCTTTACTACAGATGTTCTGTCCTGTTGTCAAGGGTTTGAACCCTTTGAGCCAACTTCCATTTTGGTTGCAACTTAAATCCCACACCACTAGGTGCTACCCTTTCCCTATCGTAAGTGAATCTGCTTTAAGATCAAGACCGTTTTGAGTGAAAAACTAATCTTGATTCCCAGTTTCCTCTGTGCTATCTAAACATAATTAGACTTTTGATTTTGATTAACGATTGCTGTTGGTGGGGAACATGATGGAAACACCCTTTTAAGATCTGAGACAAGGATTAAAAACCTCCAACTAATCATTATCATTTGACATATTGTTACATCTTTCCAATAATGTAACCAGTAAAATTACTGGAACACAGATTAAAATAGCACAAATTCATGTACAGCCAGTCCTGATACGATGCCAACAACAACAAACAAAACTACTTGCCTGTCTTCTTTCAAGTCACTGTTACTCATTCGGAAATGACAGGTCGCTACACGACTAAAGAAGTTCACAGCTTTGTTTATCTTTACAGAGTCCATGCTGTCCGTGACACCATATTTAGCTTTTTAAATTATGATGTATATTTCCTAACAAGGCATTTTGTTCCAAATGCAGCATTTTGAGTGTTACATCTAATACTCTAACTGTGTCTCCTACGCAAATGAGATGAGTATAAAATACTGAGATTACGACAGTGTTGCACAACCAAGTGACTGAATATTTAGCTGCTGTAGCAATGTGATGTATTTGTTATCCATTTGAAAATAGCTTATTTGAAATTGAATTTAATTTAATTTCATGGAAATGTATCAAAGTGAGAGGGAAGAGAGGGAAAATGATGATACTCCTTTCCTACCCAAGATTCACCAGCTTGAACTAGTGAAAAGAATGTTTAAATAACTACTGACCCTTTCTTTGCAGGCTATATTGGGAGAAAATAAATTATGACAATAAAAAGCAACCCCACTGGGAAAATACATGGAAAGTGTAATATTTTTGAACAGACACTGCTTTACAATTGTGTTTATAGCTGTAGATATCGCAATGCAGGGCACATTTGTTACATAAAATTATAGTTATTTCACCGAGACGGCTTCAAACACCATTTGTGTCATAGATCATTATTTTGTGATACAATCTGCACTAGTAGTCTTTCCTTTGGAAAACTCTTCAGATTACTGATACCTCATCACACTTTGCATATATTCTGGTTTATGCTACATTATATTGGATTGTACCAACTTGTACCCACAAATAGTTAGCCTTCTGTGGCAGGGACCTCAATAATTTGTTTGGTACAACTCCCTTAGTGTGCAGCGCGATGTACTAAAAACAGTGCTATATAATGACACAGCAAAACAGTAAAATGTTGCATAGCAGATGCTAGGTTTGGAAGCAATGAACATTTAGGAAGGGTAGAATGTGAGGGAGCAAGATAACTTATTATTTTATGTGACTGCTAGGGAAATAAGCCTAAAATTAGTTGTGCTCTAGCTCAATTAACCTAATAAATAGGTTGCAACATGTTTTTGTTAACATATTTTAAACCCTGCTAGAACGTGGAAAAAGCCATAGTTTACTGAAAGGTAAAATGGGCATCCATTTATGCAGATTAAAATATTTGAAAATGTATGTATTCCATTGCAAGCTCTGTTATAAATAATCGACCTTGCCAACATTATGTGTTCTCACCTTCTGGATGCACAGCTCAATCACAAGGCTCTCAATACACTGCGTACAATACGAAAGATAAGTTTAAAATATGCATTAGGGAGAATCTCTAGAAAACAGTCTCAAAACACAGAGGGTGCGGAGTAGGCAGTTACTAATTGAAGTGATGGAGAGACAATGTCAACCATTCCTTAAAATGGTTGCCAGTTAACCATCATCTGTAAATCTAGTGTACATATATTTAGAGTCAAATGGCTCTAATACATTTCCAGAAAAATCCCTTCTAATCAGCAAACAGGTACAATAAGTAATAAAATTCATTTTTTCTCATAAAAAAACAAACCAAAACCATTTAACCATTACTTGGGAAGTAGATTAGTTCAATTCAGGGTTCTTTTCCTGCTCCTGCCATAGCAGTGCTAGCTGACTAAAAATCAACAGTAAATTCTTTATTTTAAAATAAAATGAGATTAACATTTTGCATTGTCATCCAAAATGAAAATTTACAGGTGGTTTAACAACCCTTTTTACAGTCATCTGTTTACTACATAAAAGGTAATAGGACTGCCTTACATTTTTTTCTTGGTTCCACTTCCCCCCCCTCAAAATTTCCTGTCTCGATTTCCTCCAGATTAGATTTGTTATAATGTTCACTTGAAGTGATGGTTTTGCCAAGCCTATCCTTAATTCCTTTCTTAGTCTAACATACTTTTTTGATTGCCACTTCAGCATTTTCCTTGCCATCCAGTTTTTCCATTAGTCTTTCTTTCTATAGACCCACATCTGTTTCTTAACTGTTTTTCTTTTCCTTTGTTAAATTTCTCCCTTTTCCGCTAACCTTCCCCTACTCAGTCTTTTTTAAAACATTTTCTGAAGTCTCTTCTTTCTGCAGGCCCTCTCCCTCAATGGACCTCCAAATCTATGATTGCCCAAAACAAGTGTAACCCTAGAGTTTACCCTGACCCCGCTTACACAAGTTTACATCTATAGAGTCCCAGAAGCCAGGTCTACACTAGGCCTGGAAGGTTGGCCTAAAGTACGCAACTCCAACTTACCTTAAGTTGAGCTTGGCAGCATCCACACAGCAGGAGGCCGATGGGAGCATTTGCTTCCATCAGCTTCCTTTACACCAGCCGGAGCTGCCCTCAGTGCTTGATTTATGGGTCTCCATTGAAGCCACTAAATCGAATGCCAGAACATCAATCTCCAGTGTGGCAAGTGTAGACATGCCCAGAGTGAATTACCTGCTGTTGCTCTGACACTCCTCAAATCTTCATTTCTATTCAGTTGTTCTCTGCTGGAAGACAGAAAGAGCACTTTTACTCCCAAAGGAGGACAGCTGAGAAGATGGAAGCAGTGACTATTTCTGCTGTTGCTTGCAATGCACATGATATAAACCACGAAGGTAATTTACAACGAAAAGGAAAACAAACACATACATTTCAACCAATGTATTTAAATATACATAAGCATATTTTGTACAAAAATCTGATCAAATGAATCAACATTAAATGACAGTTATAACACCACCTGAGTATACACATACATTCACACCCCCCCTAAATGTGTCATCGTGTAATTAAAGCACTGGTTTACGTGTTCTACCTCTACAGGATGGAATATATCAGACCTACTCAAATGTTTATCATTTTGATATTGTCTCATTCTCTTATTGAATTAATAAGACTGACATGAGGGCACTCCCTATCACAACTATCGGTTAAAGAAAATTCTTCATTCTTTCAAGTGGCAGTCTTATGTGTTAAAGCAAAAGATTGTAAATTTTATACCCTTTATATTAGGACTGGCAAATTTTGGCATCAGTATATACATTACCACCATTCATGAACAGAACCAACATGATGCATATTGAAATTGAGTATTGGTTTCCCGTGAACTTGTGTGAATAACATTAAGGGTCAATGTGACAAAATATAAAAACTATCATACAATTTGTTATTTGTTAAATTATGTGGTGAACTACTTGTGGACTATATCCTGTTTCAGCACTGATGACACTACAGTGTTTTAACACAGATGCACTATTTTAAAGCAATAGACATTTATTATGAAAATGTCAGCAATTCTTTTAACTCCAGGGAAATGCATTGGATTAGAGAAAAAATACATGAAGATACAGAGTATATGTCCATGTGGAAAACAAATTTTCTTTAAACAATAAAAAGGTGGTAGGTGAGGAACAAGCTTCTCATCTTGGCAGAGCACAAGGGATAGACACAAGATTGGACAAATGCTGAAAATATACTAGTGCAGCAAGCCCTCCCCCCATGTGGATTATTTTCTTTACCTCATTAACACTTCCATTTTTTTGCACGACTCTGCATTTGGGATGTAAATAAGTTAAAAGCAAGATAACACCAAACATGTGAAAAGGAGAGAAAGTTGACCCTGAGGGATGTCTTTCACCAGGAGCGGATAAGAGGCATTGGATATAGAGATGTATGGAAACAACTTTATTTGCAGTACCATCCCTAAACCAATTCCTGAAGTTTATTCCTAAACTTTGCTTTACATTTCGCTATACATTTCCAAAGCGCCGTGCAGCCATTCAATGCTGATTCCTGCCTGCGCTGTGTCAGATAAGCCGATAACTACCCTGATGAGATAGATGAGCCAATGCTCCGAAGTACAAACATTTTCCCAGTGACTGGCAGGCCGGGGAGTCACGTTTGGAAAAGACGTTCGGCTTTGCAGTGGATGAGGACTGGAACCCAGGGGCTCTGTAGTCTCCTTTGTAAGAGGGCAAGGGAGGGGACGTCAGTGTAAATCCATCCCCCTTCCTCTCCGTGTGAGTGAGAGTCTCTGCGCGCAGCTCTGCCTCCCAGCCACCCTCCCACGCCTCCTGCGAGGTGCAGCCGCTCTACATAAACACAGCCTCGCTGCTAGCGCCGGGGACTTGCCTCTCAGCCTGACCCAGGAAGAGGAGGCGCGCCTAGCGGACACGGGAGCGGGGAAATAAGCTAGGCGTGGGGGAGCCGCGCCCGCAGGGAGGGAGGCGGCCAGGGGCTGTGCCGGAGCGGAGGACTGCGAAAGGGGCCGAGAGGCGGCGGCCCTTCCCACGGCCGGCGGGGCGGGAGGAGAGGCGACTGCCCCCCGCCACCCGCCGGAGTAAGGGCAGGCGGCGGGCTCGCTCCGGGATGGCGCTGGCGGACAGCGCCCGGGGGTTGCCGAACGGGGGCGGCGTGTCCCCGGCGGCGGGGCCGGGCTCGGGGGCGGCGGCGGCGGGCTCGTCCGCCTTCCCGGAGATCGTGGAGCTGAACGTGGGCGGGCAGGTGTATGTGACACGGCGCGGCACGGTGGTGTCGGTGCGGGACTCGCTGCTCTGGCGCATGTTCTCGCAGCAGCAGCCCGGCGAGCTGCCCCGGGACAGCAAAGGCCGCTTCTTCCTCGACCGCGACGGCTTCCTCTTCCGCTACATCCTGGACTACCTGCGGGACCTGCAGCTGGTGCTGCCCGAGCACTTCCCCGAGCGCAGCCGCCTGCAGCGGGAGGCCGAGTACTTCCAGCTGCCCGAGCTGGCCCGCCGCCTGGCGCAGGGGCGAGGGGTGGCCGCCGGGGGAACGCGCCCCGCCGCCCTGCACCGCGACGGCTCCCTCTGCGCCGACGAGCCCCCGCCCTTGCTCGGCTACCTGGAGGCGGAGCCGCCCGAGGGCGGGGTCGCCGCCTCGGCCCCGTCGCCCACCTCCAGCCGCAGCCCCTCCGGGGGCCCGCTGCTCACCCCGTCGCAGTCGCTGGACGGCGGGGCGGGGCGGCGCTCGGGCTACATCACCATCGGCTACCGCGGCTCCTACACCATCGGGCGGGAGGCGCAGGCCGACGCCAAGTTCCGGCGGGGGGCGCGCATCACCGTGTGCGGCAAGACGGCGCTGGCCAAGGAGGTGTTCGGGGAGACGCTGAACGAGAGCCGCGACCCCGACCGCCCCCCCGAGCGCTACACCGCCCGCTACTACCTCAAGTTCAACTTCCTGGAGCAGGCCTTCGACCGCCTCTCCGAGGCCGGCTTCCGCATGGCCGCCTGGTCCTCCACCGGCACCTGCGCCTTCGCCCCCGAGCAGGGCGGCCCCGCCGACGACAAGATCTGGACCAGCTACACCGAGTACGTGTTCTGCAGGGACTGAGCCGGCTGGCAGCAGCGGGGCAGGCCGCCCCGTGCGCCCTCAGCCCGCTCCCGTCCACCTCCCCCTCCATCCTCCCAGCCACACCCCAAGAGATGCTGGAGGCGCTGCTTCCTTCAGGCCCAGGGCATGAGGGGAGTTGCCTCTCCCTCGCTCCCAGAGGCTCTCTTCCCACCAACTAGGCAACCTGCCCCTCTGAAGAGGTGTATGTATGTGTGTGTGAGGGATAGATAACTGTTTTTTCTTGTCCCATGCGCATGCTTTCACTTCTCCTCCGTTTCCCTGCCCAGATTTAAAATTGCCCACCCAAATGCAATATGGTGCACGGGACAGCTGTCTATGATGTGTTGCCCTCTTGCCCCTGATTTTCCTCCAGGAACAGTGTGTGGGGTGATGCTGGTAGCGATGACTGGCCCTCCAAGACCAATTACTCTCCTATCCCTTCCTACTCCATCTCCTATCTTTCCTAAAAGTTCTGAACTTTAAAGATCTTGAACTGGATCAAGTGTGTGTGGCTGGGGAAGAAGGCTGATGGCCAGGGACAACTACCAAACCAAGTACTCTGGTTTACCAACCAATTGAACTGTTAAATCCATTTGGAAGAACAATGGCTATCTTCACTAGATATAAAGTAACATTTTATTGAAAACGTACAGTGCTTGTGAATCATAACTTTCATAGGTGGTGTAAAATCCTTAGTGTCAGCATATACAGGAACTACATAAAAATCCATTGCACGTTCCTTACATGCCTTTAAAGTGGATTGGTGTGACATAAGCCAGGCTGGTCAGAGAGGAGATAAGAGTGCCTGCTTCCTATGAAAGTGAGATTTTTAGCTGTTGAAGTAATACAAGTTTATAAATCCAAGTAAAAAGGAGTCCTGCTTGTTACTTCAAGTGTTGCCACTTTAGCACTATATAATTGTTGAAGCTAACTGAAATGCTTCCTCAAATGGCTTTAACAAAATAAATGCTGATTTTTAGTTTTTGTAGCCGTATTATTAGAAAAATCACACTAAGTAACACTTCCTAGGCATAAGTACTTTATCAAAAACAGGTAGAGAACTAAACACAGCCCCAACAAAACAGGAGCAACGATCACTTGCTTCAATGGGAGTTATTCTCCCTACAATAGTGCTGAACTTGGTCTGTATAATCTAGCAAATTTAGAACAGTTTCTCTTCCAGAGGAAGCAACCATAGCTTCATGTGGAAGAATAACATATTGTATAAGCACAAGCGTTTGTAATAAATGATGATTTAGCAGTCCTTTCTAATGAGCGGCTAAGGATCTGACTACAAATGCAGTTTGCACTTCTTGAATTTTTTTAAAACATGAGTTATCTATTCAAGCTTCAATAAAAGAAAATGACACCTTAACCATCCTAAAAGTTCAAGGACTTAATGATGCATAGTGAAGTTACAAAGGTAAAACTGCAGTTTAACTGATTGTTCCTGACTCTTGTATTTAATTACTAGCACTTACAATCTAACCAAAGAGTTTCACATTGGGGTTTCATTTTAAAATCTCACTTCCTTTTTATAAAGCGATAGCTTCAGATAATATGAAACCTTTTTTATTTAAGTAGCTTCAAATAATTATGAAGCCTTTTTAGTTAAGTAATATTCACCAATTCGAGTTTCAGTGCTTTTTCTCTCTTTTCACCACTTACTCTTGAACTAAAGGCAAGTAAGACTGCAAATTATTTTCAGTGTTATTTTCATAGTTTTTTATACATTAAGGTAGAGTTAACCCATGTAATTAAGCTGAAAATATACATGAGAGCAAGTGGCATTATCCAGTTGTAGATAATTGTAAAATGAAATATTTTTAAAAGTGAAATATAAATTTCAAATTAGATGAGCAATAATAAGAAAGCAGTGGAAGGCCAGTGCACCAGAAAACAGAATGAAAGCTGGTTATCCTAAGCCTTATTCTAAGATCATTTCTTTGTGTAAACCTTATCTATACCACAAGTGAAAGGTTATTGATCACAGCTACTAAGTATTTACAGTGTCATTCCTAAGTTAATGACTATCTTTTTCTAGTTTCTGTTCAGTAACTTTCTCTGAAGTATGTTTTTTAAAACTTTGTATAAAAAAGATTTTCAGTAAGTGTTTAAATTAGCTCCAGCTAGGTTTTTTTTTAAACAACCTTGTACTTTGGCTTAAGTCCATCATAGGAGTTATGAATGGAGGACCATTAAATTGAATTTGTGATTTAGTGTATATACACTATATAAACATTTTACACGAATCATCTAGTTTTTTATTCATTTTAGTGCAACGAAATTTCATAAATTATATCTAGCCTGAACACTTGCATATTGCTCTGTATATAATATGGTAATATTTTGATCCATTTCTAATACCTGTTTCTATGGGGAAAAAACTGAGTATGGATATCAACATGACTGTAGGACTAAGTTTGTCTACACTTACTTGCTTAAATGTGAATTATAACTAAACTTCTTGTTGGCTAGATGCCCCCCCTAAAATGAAGATACCTGTATTTTGATCAATAAATGTCTATTTGCTAGCAGATGACCCAGAAGATCCTATGTTTATTAAAAAAAAAAAAAGAATGGGTATAATAAAATCAACACAAGTATTAATTTTTTTCTAAACTTTGTGTTTGTGATATTAAAGACTACGCAGTGACTGGTAATGATACGGAACCTTTGACTTATAGGGCACTGATTCTAATCTGAACTCAGGTTGGTGGATGTGTCCTAAAATAATTAGCTGTTTGATAGCTACCATAGCTATTGTTAGTCTATGTAAAAATGAGTTGGTAGTTGCAGACAAATTGCTAATGAGCAGCCTTTCACTGGACAAGTTAGTGAGTCTTGATGTCTCTCTCAGAGCTTAAGGAGTGAGTGGATGTGGTTGCCTTTAGAGGCAGTCCCTCTCCAGGTTAATGTGGAGGCATGCTAATGGAGCACTGTACATATTTCTGGAATTACTGTTGCTCACACTTTGCCTGTTCTATGAATAAATACAAGTCTGATACTATTAATGAGCACTAACTTTTTTTTAAGGCAGTTTCTTTTAATTAGAAATGAAGGCACAGGTATCCTACTTTTATCAGTCGTGTGTCATATATGGTATCTCTTTATAACAAATGTTTGATAGGATGTTTATATTTTTGTACATGTAGATAATTAGCCATATATTCATCCTTTTTCACATTGTATAGTGATGGCAACAGACGTCATCCTAGGAAGATGTTACAGACCAAATTAAATTCTTGTTCTTTTGATACTAACTTAGTCATGTTATTTATATTGTCTTTTTACTCCTGTTAGAGATAATTTGCATGATGTCATTACCTTTACTTTATATTTAATAGCATCAGGTTCACAGCTTCAGCAGAACTTCCTAACTAGTCTGAAAACTGAGCCATGGAGGCAGGGATACTTTGTGTATAGTGCTTTTTCTCTAAAGACATTCATGATGTAGATAAAGGTTAACATATCACACGTTCTTTTTAAGATACACAAAAAACTGTTGTGGAGCCAACTTTACTGATTGGCACCATCCGTAAGTCTCAAAGAAACTATTATTATTCAGTAGCTTAATTTGGATAATACAATATATCTGGCTAGCTGAGATGTTAACATTAGTAATTCAGGCAATATTAATGTAACTAGTAACTAATATAACACTGATCTCTCGAGGAAAATGTGGTGCGAGCATCTCAGAACAAATTTTGTTTGGATTAATTAAAAGTGCAATAAAAGCTTTCCTGCACCAATGGAAGAGTGACTTTAATATTAGCTATTGCTGATACCTTTATAATGCAAATTTTAATATAATGGAGGTGAATTTTGTTTGATTCATGGAAGATTAGTGATTAATTGCTAGTAAAATCCAATTTTTACGTTACGATGGAACATTTGGATATTTAATAGATTTTTCTTTAGCTGTTCTGCTGAAGGTTTTAAAGATTTAAACTATTGTTTTTTTTTCATAAATTACATCTGGGTCATCTGATTCAGCTGCCTCACAATGTTTGAAAGTGTCATTGTGACAGAAGTATTATTAAAAATATTGACTGTAGTCCCTGTCTGGTATTGTTAAAGTAGAACCTTTTTTTGCAGAAGTGGAACAATAGCAATCCAGGAGTGTTAACTAAAGGGAAGTTTCTGTTTCCTTCTGACTCTGGGTTTGTCTACACTACCACCCTAGATCGAACTAGGGTGGTAATGTAGGCAACTGGAGTTGCAAATGAAGCCTGGGATTTGAATTTCCCGGGCTTCATTTGCATAAAGCCGGGCGCCGCCATTTTTAAATGTCCGCTAGTGCGGACTCCGTGCCACGCGGCTACACGCGGCACGGACTAGGTAGTTCGGACTAGGCTTCCTAGTCCAAACTACCAATACTCCTCATCCGAACTACCTAGTCCATGCCGCGTGTAGCCGTGCAGCACGGTGTCCGCACTAGCGGACATTTAAAAATGGCGGCGCCCGGCTTTATGCAAATGAAGCCCGGGAAATTCAAATCCCGGGCTTCATTTGCAACTCCGGTTGCCTACATTACCACCCTAGTTTGAACTAGGGTGGTAGTGTAGACATAGCCTATCTTAGGTGGCTCTCTACTTAGCTTGCTGGTGTAAATATTGGTGCTGCTCAGTGTTGGAGTTCAATTCCTAAAGTTGGATGCAAGCACTGTAGGTGTTTCAACAGCTAGGCATTGTAGGCACTAGTCCTGCACCACACAGCCACATGACTAAGGAAAATATTATTTTACTAAGGCTGGCAGGAAAAGGTTGCAAATGTCCTAGGTACAAAGACTTATACAGCTACAATTCAAAGAGAACAATAAGTGGTTGTTGTTAGGGATGTGAACAGTTAACCGGTAAGCATCACTTTACTGGGTGATGGTTATCGGTTATGGTTAACTGGCCGGGGCTGGAGTAGCCTGCCTGCCTGCCTGGCCTTGTTTAATTGGTTAACAAATTAAATATAACATTTACATGCCTAGTTCCTGCATGGCCTCCTACCACAGTGAACCTAACAGTCAGGGCCCTGCAAGCCTGGGCCCTGGAGTGTCCTCTCCAGTCCAATCTGTATAAGTGCTTGTGGGTTTCCAAGCCAAGTTCGGTTAGTGTCTCTCATTGGGTCCCCTTTGCACTGTCTTTCTTCTTAGCCACTGCTACTTCCCCATATGTCCCACATAGGCCTACACCCAGTGTAATATCTGGCACTAACAGCCCTCTGTTTGCAGCTCTGTTTTATGGTTCCAGGGGCAATCTCTTCTGCCTCCAGCCTTCTTGCAGCTCCTGGCTAGCTTTGTAGCTTCTGTATCCAAAAAAAGCCAGAACACTGCTTGGCGCAGGACCTTTCCTGGCCAGAAGAAGGGGATATGCAATGGGGAGGGAACTGATGGGGCTTGTAGTCCATTGGTTAGCACCTCCATCACTGGCTTCTCTGAATACAGTTTGTAGGTGCCTAACTCCTCCCACACATTGACAGTGTTGCCAGCTCTCGTGATTTTATCTTGAGTCTTATGATAATTGTTTTCCTTAAAGCCCTAGCTCCTGGAGTCAAGTGGTTATGTGGTGATTTCAGCCTTCATTTTTAAAGAAAATACTATGTTTTTAATCCTCATGGCTAAGGTAAAAGCTTCAAAATGTGACCCTAGTGCACCTTAAAGGCTCAAACAGCAGAAGGCAAATAAACCTCCCAAATCTATTCTTTTTACATAGTCTCATGATTTTAAAGTCAATTTCATGTGGGGTAACCACATGTCCAGTTTTCAACCAGAGTGCACGGTTGAAATAGGAGCCTGGTGATTCCAGTCAGAACCACCCATCAGGCATTAAAAGTCTGGTCAGTGGTGCTGTGGAGCAAAGGCAGGCTTGTCCTGACACCACACAGCATCTGAGAAGCAGCCCAGCAGGTTAAGCTTCTGCATGTGTGTGGGGGAGATGGGGCTTTGTGTGCTGCCCCTGAACTGAGCACTGGTTCTACACTCCCATTTGACTAGGAGCAGGCCAATGGAAGCTGAGTGGCAAGAACAGCTCATGGAGCTTCCTACTCCTTCCATAGGTGCCCCGTTCTGAAGTGTCAGCCCTGCTGGCCACTTCTGGGCCACAGCATGGAACTTGGGACAGGCAGGGAGTCTGCCTTAGCCTCACTGAACCACTGACTGAGAGCCACACAAGATAAACCTGTGTCCCAACCCTGAACCCCAACCCTGTGTCCCCTAACCTGAAGCACCCTTCTGTACCCCAAACCTTTCATCCCTGGCCCAGCACAAAGCTCTCACTCACTTACACCCAACCCTCCTGCCCCAACTGAGAGTCCCTTATCACATCCTGAACCCCTCTTTCCTGACCCCACCCAAGTGTCTTCATCCCCTAATGCAGGGCTGGGCAAAATATGGCCCTTGAGCCACATCTGGCCTGCCAAGCCACTGGATCTAGCTTGCAGAAGCACTGGGGAGACTCACTGTCTGCCCTTTGTTCCTCCCCTCCGCCCACCGGTACTCTGATCAGAAAAGTAGCTTCTAGGCCATTTATCTTTCAACAGCTGCAAGCCCAGGGAGAGGTTTGAAGAATAGGCAGTGCGCAGGGCATCCCTCCCCCACCCCTCAGGCTTGTAGATATTCACAGACCTGAATGACCCTTGCCATGGCCGGGCAGGCAGGAAGCCTGCTTGAGAAACATGTTGAGCTGCTGGCCGGGTGTCAACCAGGTAAGTCTCCCAGCCAAAGCCTGCCTCTTGCACTACAGCTCCTCTCTGCCCCCCCACTCCTAACTCCTTACCCACATAACCCAACCTCTCTGCCCTCCATCCTGCACCCATACCCCCTCCCAAACTCTGCACCCCATCCTACACCCTACTTCTGTTTCCCAGGGTCACAACTGTTTCCTTCAGCCAAACTCCTTTGCCGACCCCATGCCCCCTTCTGTACCCAGTCACTTACTCCAAGCTCCCTTCTGCACTAAACCTCAATCCAAGACCCCACACCTCCTCCACTAATATCATGGAAGAGTGAGGCCTTTGGTCACTTTCCAAATTCTTGGAGTTACCCCCCCCCCATTAAAAATCTTCACTCTGAGCCCCTCTTCAATCCACAGCTCCCTCCCACATTCCAGATCCCCTGGCTCCACCCCAGGGTCAGTGCCCTCAGTCCAAGACTCTCACCCCCTTCCACAGCCCAACACCCTGCCTCAACCTGCAGCACCCCCCCCCACATTCCAAATCCTTCGGTCCTGCCCCACAGCAAGGAGACTCTTCCTGCAACTCAAGCTCCTCATCCCCAAATGCACCCCAAAGCCTGCACCTCCAGCCAGAGTCCTCACCTCTTCCTGCACTCGAAACCTCAAAGCCTCTTCCCCAATCCAACGAGAGTGGGGAGGGGGGCAAGTCACTCGGGGAGGGAGAATGAAGTGAGCGGGGGACGGGAAGAGGCAGGACACAGGGTGGTGCCTTAAGGGAAGGGTTGTGCTAAAGTGTTAGAATTTGTGTGATTAGAAAAATTGGTAACCCTAATCTCATGATTTTTTGGTGAGCCTGATTTTTGAACATTTGGTGTTAACAATACTGATTGTACAGGAATCTTGTGCCCCTGTTTGGGGCAATGTATTTCACTAGGCAGTGGGGTGTCCCAAGTTAAGCAGAGGCTAAATCTCCTTTTTGGATCCAGTCCAAAATATATATTTCTCCCCTTCTTGTCCAAATTAGAAACAAATGTTTTGTACAATATTGATTCCTATGCTTCCAGCTGTGAATTTTAGGGTATATTATACAATATTTGGTGGCTGTGTTTAGACTGGCAAGTTTTTCCACAAAAGCAACTGCTTTTGCAGAAAAACTTGCCAGCTATCTACACTGGCCACTTGAATTTCCGCAAGAACACTGACGATCTCATGTAAGAAATCAGTGCTTCTTGCGGAAATACTATGCTGCTCCCGTTCGGGCAAAAGTCCTTTTGCGCAAAAGCTTTTGTGCAAAAGGGCCAGTGTAGACAGCTCAGATTTGTTCTGCGCAAAAAGGTCCCGATTGCGAAAATGGTGATTGTGGCTTTTTTGCGGAAAAGCGCGTCTAGATTGGCACGGACACTTTTCCGCAAAAAGTGCTCTTGCGGAAAAGCATCCGTGCCAATCTAGATGCTCTTTTCCGCAAATGTTTTTAACGGAAAACTTTTCTATTAAAAGCATTTGCGGAAAATCATGCCAGTCTAGATGTAGCCAGTGTATTTCTATAGAACCTTCTCTAAATTAACAGTAGTTGGTAAACTTTTAAAAAACTTCC